AGTCCCCGGAGTTGGGGACTGGCTTCAGTAGAAGCTGCTGGGACTCCCAGCAGCTTCTACTGAAGCCTTCCGAGTAAATCGCCAGAACACCGACACCTCCTCATTTCCACCGCTCCCATGTTTTATTTTGTGTTGCCATAAGTTAGTCTTTCTGCGCTGGGCTAATGCTAATGCGAGGATAATAAAACTTTTGGGGAGTTTTACGGGGCGTGGTTTGCAATCCTCCCAGCCAATCAGACATAGGAACCTTTTTCTCCCACGAAAGTCCCTGCTCTCCAGCAGGGACTGAAGAGGGGGTAAAAAGGTTCTCATGAGGCGCATTCACACCGCAGTACTTTTCCCACAAAGGTTCATGAGAACTCTTTTGTCGCGTTCACACCAAAAAGAGCCGGTACTAAAATTAGTTAATGAGAACCTTTTTACCCCCTCGAAAGTCTCTGCTAGAGAGCAGGGACTTTCGAGCGGCTCTCTTGTGAGAAAAGAGCTATATTTCTGATTGGCTGGGCGGATTGCAAACCACGCCCCGTAAAACTCCCAAAAAGTGTTGTGAAGCCGCCATTTTATTATCCTCGCATTAGCATTATTAGCATTAGCCCAACGCAGAAACGCAGAGAGACTAACTTATGGCAACACAAAATAAAACATGGGAGTGGTGGAGATGAGGAGGTGTCGGCGTTCTGGCGATTTACTCGGAAGGCTTCAGTAGAAGCTGCTGGGAGTCCCAGCAGCTTCTACTGAAGCCAGTCCCCAACTCCGGGGACTTCCGGCCGGGGACTTTGGGCGGCAGTATACGCCGTGAAGTGGTTTGCGGCCTGCGGCCTGCCAGTAAACCCAAAGCAGAAGAAGAAGAAGTGACGTCAGCGGCTTCATTTGCCTAATCCAGTGTTTTTCAAAGTGGGGGCCCCGACCCCCCGGGGGGGTGCCAGGGGGATCACGCAAAATTTGAGGGAAGGGGGAATCTTTTTTTTTTTTTTAAAGTTACATTTTTTTTTTTTGTAGATGTTATTAATAACTCCATATATATCATTCCTCCTTTGATGCCAATCTTTTAATACTTTTTATTTATTATTTTATTTTATTGTTTTTAAATCTCACGACCGCCCTTCAAGCCAATCAGAATCGAGCTGCCGCTACTGAGAGTGAAACTGAATATCTGCTCAGCTTTTGGAGCAAGTGAGAGCTAGTGAATATTTCGCTCTGCAGCTGGATGAGAGCACGGATGTAGCAAATATTGATGTTTATATATATGAATTTAAATATGTTTATTGTTAATATTACTGTTGAATATTATATATAATATTATTAAGGCATAAGTAGCTTTTAAAAAATATGTTAATTGTTCATATTACTGTTCAAAATTAAATAATATTATAAAGACAAATCACTTTAAAAATGCTTTAAAAATATGTTTACCGTTGATATTACTGTTTAATATTGTGTTAAGAATGTTTATAACAGAAGACACAATCAATGTAATGAATGACAAACAAAAGATAAATACAATTTTTTTTAGAAGAATAACTGATTATTAATTATTAATACAAATATATATTAAGAAAATGTATTAAGCTGTATGATTAATTTGTCAAATTTTCCATCATAATGTACTCATCATTTAAAAAAAAAAAAATTGCAACATGGGGGTCCCCGCCAGATGATAATGCTATATGGGGGTCCTTGGCATGGCAAAGTTTGGGAACCCCTGGCCTAATCCACCCCCAGGGACTTATTCCGGTGTGAACGCGATCTGTACTTACTGTAGTTCATGAGAACTAAAGAGTTCTCATGAACCTTTGTGGGAAAAGTACTGCGGTGTGAATGCGCCTAATAACTAATTTTAGTACCGGCTCTTTTTGGTGTGAACGCGACAAAAGAGTTCTCATGAACTAAATTCTCAAGAACCTTTGTGGGAAAAATACTGCGGTGTGAATGCGCCTATAGTGAAAGACTACTGGGAAAATATCCCCACTGCTGTGTTTGGTGCCTTGTTGCAATGTTTCACTAATCTTTCAGGCTTTCCTGAATAATTCATTGTTTACTTAATTCATCCTATACTGGAATAGCAAAGTGGCTCATCAATGTATTGATTTGAACAGGTTAACAGCTGTTGTCCTTTCATCAAGGGGTACCATATATTCACCATATTTATTCTGGAGACAAGCCTGCAGTGTTTTGCATTATGTATACAGAAAAGGCTATTTTAATTTTTCAAACTGTCTGAGACGTATTGACTATTTAATTAATCTGAAATATTTTAATGAGTGGACGTTTCTAACTCTTGACATTTCATACTGCAGCTGCCCACTACTGTGTGAAACTAAGCATATTTGTATATCAGTTTATGCAAATCCATATAAAATGCTACAAATAAATACAAGATATATTCATGTACAGTATGTGGCCTGTCTTGGCACAACTTGGAGACGACACACCAATCCTAAAAAATAAAGGGTAATAGGGTGAGGTAAAGATGAGTCATGAGTGTATTTTTGGCACCGGAGAGGCTAAGTGGGCCCCATTGGTCATTAGTTGTTGTTTATTTAACCATTAATCATTCAGCGCTTCTAGGGATTATTCACTTAATGTTCAAACTCGTGGACTCCTTTGATCCTTGCTACACATTTTGAAATGAGATTTTTAAGGATTCATGGCATTGTTGAACTGTCCCACTGCTTTATAAATGACTGAAACACCACTATGTTAGGATTTATGTTTAAATCATAAATATTTTTAAGGATGTACTTTTAATAATCACCTCAATAACTTAAAAGTCAAGATTCAAATCAATTCATATAAAATGTTTATATTCATGTCACTTTTCGTATCAGCAGTCTGTAAAATGTGTAAAGTTATATACACTAAAAACATACCTTTTTATCCTCGCAGTGTCTTGTTGAATGGTGTGGTATGGTTCAAAGTTTCAGGCAGTGATCCTCAAATATTTAGAAACAAATTTAAGGGATGATTAAAACTTGAATGCTTTTAAATAGCTGTAAAAAAAAATCAAGGAGATGCCTGGTGTGCTTTAATGAAGATTTCAATAAAAAGGCTGGTTTTACATTTTGTAATAAGAGAAGTGATGTAATTAAGGAATAGCTCCAGTATTAACTCCTTTTTGGCCTACATACAAGCCTTCACAACTAACTAGTCATCACTTTTGTCTTAGCTTCCTTCTATTTTTGCACCCTACACCCTGTTGTGAACTAAGCAAAGAGCAGTATTTTTTATATTCCTGTGTAGCAGTTGAAAGGATGTTTGACACATCATAGTGAGTATGAAGTGTCAAACATTATTACCCCAAAGTAGGCAGAGACACAACCAGGAGAGTGGCACCCCTCATCGGCTGACAGACAGTGAGCGGAGAAAACTGTGAAATCATTTGTCTGATTTTCTGGCAGCCAGCAGCAGGACTCAGCGACAATAACAACCAAATCAAATCAAGTCAAATCAAGTCAAATCTCCACTGCTTGTCAATAATCCTTCATATTTCTGAATCTCTGCTTTCTGTGCTTACTTACGGCTCTCAAGCGCTATGAGAAAAAGGTTTAAATCTGGAATCCTCTATTATAGTAAATAACTCATAAATCCATCTTTATTGGCAGTATTCAACATTTACATTTTGTTTGAAAAGGAAACAGATTATTCACGGGATTAGTTAATCCTCTGGTCTTTCAGATAGGAAAAATAAGTTTTGTAGCTATAGTAGTCTCATTTGGGTTATTATTTGTGATCTGCATCATCTGTGCTCCTTTATACTTTGTGAGAAAAATAAATGAGAGAAAAACTCATGTTCAAAGAGGATTTGAGCAACATCACGTTCTTCCCTCGCAAATATGTATTTTGGCAGAGTAGGAGGCTGGGTTTGTGATAATCCCCCAGCTCTTCAGTTTGTGGGTAGTAAGCAGGAGGTAAGTAGAGTGATTATAGTGCTTTTCAGCATGAGTGGGACCAAAAACAAAACAAAAACAACAGTGAAAAGCCAGCACCCACACACGTCTGTGCTGAGAGCGGCCCTCCAGAGACACAGCGGTCAACAGTGCATGGGGCTTACCTGTCAAGAGTCTCGTTGTGTCAAGAGTCTCGTTGTGTCGAGAGCGCAGTGGAGAGGATACTCAGAGGCTTAACAGCCAGTGAGCAAGAGATACAAAAAGGCCAGTGACAGGAGCAAGTGTTTTAGTAAAACCTTTAGAACCCCAGGCTCAATCTCTTTTAAAAATGGCCCTTCAGGAAAATCAGTCTGACAGGGACTTCGGTAATGGAGAATTTGCCCTCGTCTTTACTCCGTCTAGTTGTCTCTTTTTTCCCCCTGAAAATGGTCCCGATCATGCACCAGCAAAAATGGTTTCCCATTGCTTCAAATCACTTGAACATGCTGTCAAGGGCCTCTCCAGGAGATGATTTCACTTCTTCTCCCACCCCATTTACAAGCTGGTCTGAGAACACCGTATTTTAAAATCCATTTGTTCCACTACACGCCACCATGGCCCTAGCTTTACCCAGCGAGCCAACCTTGGTTTCCTCCTGGCTCTGGATCCCACTGGCATGGCTTTGTTATGCCCGGTCTGAGCTGCATAAATTACAGTATCACTATCCTATATCTCTCTACCTCTGTCCACCTGTTAAAGCAGTAAGTCACCTGTGTAATTCAATTATCGGGAGCCTGAGAGAAGCTGAAACAACAGGAGTTAAATGATTTGTAACAAAGTGAAAAAAAGCAGCAAAATTGTCAATACAGACACATGCAACAGCAGGATAGAATGACCACTTTGTCTTCATTTTAATGTTTAATGTCAAGGGGTATTCAATTTCTATTTGCTTTTTACATATGCCAGCTTTCCTGCTTTATGCAAGTACAAAGGCTTTCCGAAAAAAAACTGATTGCATTTCCACTTCATGCACAAACTGGAAATGGGCATTAAACATACCTAGTGTATCGTCAGGCTACAAATGTATGTGTTTCCTCACTTTGTCTATCCTCTCCCCATCCGCCTCATTACTAGATACGGAGACATGGTACCAAAGACGATCGCCGGGAAGATCTTCGGCTCCATCTGCTCCCTGAGTGGCGTGCTGGTGATCGCCCTGCCTGTCCCCGTCATCGTCTCCAACTTCAGTCGAATCTACCACCAGAATCAGAGAGCAGACAAACGCCGAGCTCAGAAGGTAACAATCAGGGTCTTTATTTCATCCCGTATACTCCAGCAGGGACAGTCGAGGTCTATGTGTGGTTAAATAAGTGTGTTGGTGTTGTAGCTACTGGATACCTGCAATATTAACTAACCATGACGGGTGCAAACATTTTCTATTAACAAAAGACCAAAGTACTAGAGATTTTAGTATGATAAGATGTTATGATGTCAATGCAAATGAATAAGAGTGTTGAGAGAAAACGCTGCATGAGTGGATACTTATGGTTAAGCCTGAAAACCCCCTTTAAAGGGGACCTATCATGCAAAATGCACTTTTGTACGTCTTTTATACATGAATGTGTCAGAAAACACAACCCTCTCTATTTTCCTCCATACCCAAATCTCTAAAAAAGGGGCTGCAACGGATCTGATTCTGATTTGAACACTTTACTGACGTCAGTAAAGTGGCGCTATACGGCTATTGGTCAATTCTCCACCTATCAAGGGAATGAGAGGTTGGGCCACGGCCGGCCATTGCTTCTCGAAAGCGCTGGAGACGCTGTAGTACATATGCCAGGCCTGTAAATGGCGCTGTAGTCTGCCACAAAAGTAGCGAAGAAGACTTCCCTTGCAATGTTGCCATGGTTGCCCTTCTGTTTATTCTCCGCTGTGGCTCTTTTTCTCCCTCCCAGAGGCAAGCTTTTGCGCCTCCTGCTTTAAAACAAATGAATAATGACTCTATATAATCATATGTAAGAGATAATGTGCAGCGACGTGGTCATTATGGGGAAAAGAACACCGACAGGCTGATCAGGAGCCCGACGCAAAGCGGAGGGATCTAGATCGGCATGAAGGCACATTATGCAATGTGCACATTATCCCGCTTATTACATGGCCACATTCTCGACAAAGTAACGACATGACTCCCAATATTAATTGAAATGCTTTTATGGATTTAGAAAATGATTTTATTGATTTAAAAAATAGTTGTAGGCCTATGTATTGATTTAAATTGACATGCATCCGCTAAGAGAAATAGTCCGTTGTTACTGTTTGAACTAACGTAGCAACGGCAGGAACTGCTTCGATAGTGTTTTTGAGGAGCTTTTTGATTACAGATTTGAAAACATCGTTGCTTGCTTTAAAAGTAGCACAATTCATTATGTCAAACCTTGGAAAGTATATCCCTGCCCTAATGCCAAAGTAACTGGCAACTGAATATGTGTCGCCGTTTGATGTCTATGTCTGGACCGCTGCGTAAAAAGGAGGGTTTCTGCCCCATTACTTCTCTTCTTACACTGTAAAAAAAGATCGTAATTTTACAGGAAATAACTGTAAATTTGTATAGTAATTATCATGTTTTTTTAAATAACTTGCAAAATCCTGTAAAATGACAGATATTAACTATAAATTAACAACCCAAAACATTATTTGAAGTATTTTGACAATAACAACAAATAACGTTTATTTCCTTTTTTTTTACTGTAAATTTACTATATAATATTTACAGTATTTTTGCACTTTCAGAAAATACATGCAGATGTACGTAAAATAAAATGTTTTTATCTGTAATTAAATATGTAACTCGTAATATAAAAGTGTATTACTATTATAAGACTTTAAGATGTTCTTTGTAATTTTAAGGTAAACATAAAACTGTAAGAAAAGCGTAAAATAAAAAAAACGTAAAATGTAAGTAAAATATTTTTACATAAATCATTTTCTCAATATTCGATTGAATCCAACAAAAACACAAAATATCCAATGTTGAAACAAAAGTAAATAAATATGTTTTCATGAAATTCCTAACTTACTATATTGTAAACATCTACAGTTGACAATATCATTAAAAAAAAAAAATCATAGAAAGTGGAGAAATCTCTGCAGGGAGGACCAAGGTTTAAAACACACACTGTTATTTACTCAACAATAAGTCACAGTTATCCTTGTTTTATTTATGTGTTCTGTTGCTGTGTTTTTTTTCCATTGGTCAATTTACAGTAATAAACCTTAGTTTTACAGTATAATGTATGGTTTTCGGATTCTGGCCGACAGCCAGAGCTACGGCACTTGAAATAGAATTCAGCCAAAACACGGCAGACAAGTCAGGCATGTTTGGAATGAGTCCACAACACTCCTGATTGGTTAATATAAACATCATCGAAGAAACCTGCCAATGAGAACTGTCCGCGCCTGTCGTTCACATTTGAAACATCCAAGTCAGTTTGAGCGGGTCTCCTCCTGCTGGAGCTACAGCTGTCTGTGTGTCTGCTACAGGAGTTTATGGATTCATATCGGGATCGTTTTACATCTACACGTTAAATATGAGCATCGGGACGTCAACAAAGAACAGAAGACTTGAGATCTGGTGAGTCCTGCAACTGTAATGGAGTTAAACATGTATTTAGATAATCCTTACTTAGTTTGTGAATGTTTTATTTTTTATTTAAGGTTACGTTTCTTCTTCTAGTTAGCTGAGTTTCTTCCGGTTAAGTTGGTATGCATAATTAATAGGTTGTTAAATGTTAAGAAGCCCTGAGATGCTGTTTCTTGCAAGATGTTGCGCCCGGGAAACCCGGCTTAACATGCGGCCGCTAAAGTTAGTTTACAGTTTATTGCAGTGCCGCCCCCCCCACCCTCTCGTCTCCAACACGGGAGAATTACACATAAACATGCAGTGGGTTATCACAGTGTTGTCGCCAAGTTTAATGTAAAGTTTCACAGCTTTCTTACAGCGGAATCTAGTTTGTTAATGTTCAGTAGCCAACAGCTAGCATAGCATAAACAGCTAACCGCTAACGTTCGGCTAATTTGCTAGTTAGCTCTGCTCTATATATTACACGCTAACATGACTAGCTAATGTCACACTGTGAACTAAAATACTTTTTGTATTACTACATCATACATGCTTGGTCCAAATCACTGCTAAAATTAATTATTTTTGAAAATGTATAGTAAAGAAACACTCAGCCATGCATGAAATAACATGGCAAAAGAATACGGGTAATGTTTGACCCATGTTGTCCCTTAGAAGTGTAGTGATACAAACATGATTTTTATTCAAAAAGTAAGAAAGGGAAAAATAAAAATTAGAATTGGTGTTGATCTAAAACATGTTAATTGAGGAATACCTGGGATCCTGAATGGTTAAAGTAATTTATTGCAAAGATATTTACAATTAAAACTAATTCGGGTCACTTTTGACACATGTTGGTTGTATGTTGTGTAACAAAGGGTTAACATGACAGCTGTGATGTTCACTCTTTTGACAGAGCACCAGTGGACAGTGAGGACTATGGAAGAGAAGATGTGATGGCTTTGTGTGGAAAGCTGCTAACGCCAGCCTGTGTCCCTCATCAGTCTCTCCAGGCAGCACCCAGCTATTCTTCCATCTTGCAGATGAAAAGACTTTGATATGTGAGTAATAACTAACTTGTGTCTAACATAATATTGAATGTGGTTTAGTAAAGTATTTAAAAATACCCCACATTGTACATGTACAGGACAATCAGACCTTGTTCAACAAAGATCATCAGACAATTGTTTTGTCTTTAAGGTACAGCTGCAGCAAAGAGTCTGAGTTTGAAGAAAACACTAACATTTTATTTAGTGTTGTTTAATCAATCAATATTTACTGGTCTTGAATTTCCTCACTGTATTACAAAATGCTCGAATCTTATTGTACAGGAACATTATGCAGATTTAATCACCTGAAGATAAAAATATAGATTCAGCGATATGTACCATTTTAAGGAAATAGACTGTTAGCGGTATTTACCAAAGCTCCGCAGCTGTAGCTAGGCGCTGCTAATGAAAACTCAAGTGCTCAATTTGTTGGTTTTTCTTTTTTATTAAGAATTGACCAAGCATATCTTCCTCTTCGAAATCCCAGTTGTACTTCGCTAACACGCAGTGCCTGGGAGGGTGCGTTTGATTGTTCCCACAATAGTGCGTGCTTGTGCTTCAAAGGTCCATCATACAAGATGTAGGGGATCTATTGGCAGCTGCTGATAATAACATCCATCATTATGGTTTACTAATAGTTATCACTTCACTTCCTCCTCCAGCATCTGGACACAGCAGGAATCTACAACACTCTGGCTGGAGGCTGCGCTCCATCAGGACCAACACCTCTCTCCCTCAGGACCAGAACCTCTCCATCAGGACCAACACCTCTCTCCATCAGGACCAACACCTCTCTCCATCAGGACCAGAACCTCTCTCCATCAGGACCAGAACCTCTCTCCATCAGGACCAAAACTTCTCTCCATCAGGACCAGAACCTCTCTCCATCAGGACCAAAACTTCTCTCCATCAGGACCAAAACCTCTCTCCATCATGACCAAAACCTCTCTCCATCATGACCAACACCTCTCTCCATCAGGACCAGAACCTCTCTCCATCAGGACCAACACCTCTCGCCACCTCAACAAGGCCCCCCCCCCCCCCCCCCACTCCCACTGACACTTTATCTCAGCCACAACGCAGACTCTATGCATTACATAATGGAGATCACAGGATGGTAAATAATGCAATGTTTAAATATTGCTTACTGCACATATTTTATATTCTATAATTTATTGCATTCTATTTCGATGTAAGTTACTGCTTTATTTTATTTCTATCTTACTATATTTTTATTACAGTGTTCTTAATATAGTTCGCTATCTGTGTACTTTTTAATTTTTTTAATTTGTATGTCGTGTGTCGTGGTGCACAACACCTAGTCAAATTCCTCGTACGTGTGAACCTACCTGGCAATAAACCCGTTTCTGATTCTGATCGGTTTGTCCTCTAGGTTGCACTGCCACGTCTACAGTAGCGCAGAATGGACAGAGGAAACATGATTGGGCCTCAAGTTTTTTGCAGCCAATATTCATTTATCCTACAGGGGCGGCTAGTGGAGTACTTCGTGACCACAAAGTGTGAACGTTGTGATCAGCTGTTTTAGCGCAAATGTAACATTTTAAGACAATGGATTTTGAAAAGAGAGGAAAGTTTCCTCTAAAATCTTTAAGGACAATTTCTGTATAC